CATGGTCATGGTTTTCTCGAGAACAACTCGCTACAAGTTACTTGCATCACCACTGTTACTGGTCGCGACAATTCGATTTTCGTTGGTATCGATCATTTTAATCTAATCATTCGAGAGGATTAAATGACTTTGCCCGCAATTAATATTTAATCGCAGCGATCTAGAAAAATATTGCGTTTGTAATGCGGCAAATTGAAGTGCCCTACATCGTGGTTGAAGACCTTACTTTTCGGGTAATTTTTGTGCGTGAGTCTCTCTATCAACGCGTCTACAATTTTCGGGATTGTGAAGATTGGAGAGGATTTCAAATTTTTGGAGAGCTGAAAAGTGCAGAAATACTCTTTATCGCACGAAAAGATTACTGCCGTGCTATAAGGAAGAACGCCGTATGAACATTCGAGAGTTGCCAAATTTCCTTCAATTAAGTGTTCATTCTTTAGGAAAGTTATGAATATTTGTCCTTGAAATTTGCAGGGACTCCAGGTGAAATTGCGAAGAAAATAATCTGAAAAATTGGAAGGAAAATATGTATAAGTTTACCAGGAAATTCGTGTTTTATCAAAGGAAATTTGGCAATGCCTGAAGGTTCATACGGCGTTTTTCCGTAGCACGGCAGAGTAGTCTGCCGTGCTCAGGAAGAACGACGTATGAGCCGTCAGACGTTGCCAAATTTTTTTCGATAAAACCGAATTTGTACAGGGAAAATTGTGATTATTTTTCCCCAAAATTTTCAGACATCATCGTACGCAATTTAATCTAATATCCCTATCTGCAAATTTCAAAGAAGAATGTGCATGGATGTCGTCAAAAATACATGTTTTATCACGGGAAATTTGGCAACTCTTAAATGTTCATACGGCGTTTTTCCTTAGCACGGCAGCGGCAGTGCAGAGATTTTAAAATACACGCAACTTAGGCAACAGTGTAGCTACGCAGTTGCTGTTGCGCATGCGTCGATGCGGTGGTATGCGGTCACAGATTAGTCCAGATCGCTAACATCGGCGGAGGAGCGTGAGTAGTTTTGTGAGCGCCATTGGCGGGAAAATCCATGGGCATTTAAAACTAGGAACCAAAACTGAAATTTTGGCTATTTTCAGCAGATTTTCGGCGGGAGAATACTTCTTTTTCAGATTTTTGTGGGATGAAACGTTCCGAAGAATTCAAGAATTAGTTTCT